ATTGAAATAATTTAAATGTGGTCAGAAAGCTTATGACCAACTAAGAGAACCTGGAACCAAGGTTCATGCTGTTAGCCACTGCTCTGCAACTAAACTTGTGTGTTTAGTTTTTCTGCTGGAGTAACTGCACCTATTGTTTCCTCATTTTGATGTGTGAGTTGGTATTTAATGGAGGATTCTGAATCTCCATAAGGCCAAGCATTTATTATTGCACCGATTCCAAAGGAATATGCAAACCGAAGGATCCATGATCACAACTCAAAAGTTTACACCGTATAAAGTTACATCTCGTTTGGAAAACCAACAGCATGAGTTACAGATCAAGAAACTTAGTACATAAAAATACTAGCGATTGTTGAAGCACTAAGGCTCCAATGGGTAATTGCTACACTTCCTTGCTCATCTTTGTGTTCATGTTAAACAATTTCTGTTATTTGGGTAGAAAATAATTATTAAACAAAATTCAAACATAACACATCTGAATGATCAATGGTAAAGAATGCAATTGTATGTAACTCAGAAAAGAATGAATGGAAAATTAAACATTAAATTATTTAACCAATGATAAGTTAAAAGGTCTACGAAATATGTTACAAATGTGTTTACAAATTCAACATTGTTCTTGAAGGAAAAGATATATGATGAAAGAATAATAATGCAATAGCAATATTTGTGTAGAAAGAGAGTTTCTTAATTCAAAAGTTGTATGAGTTAGTACACAAAATTAATAGCATTGCATTCATATTTCGAGGTATATAACTATAAAACAACAATTAAAGAAAAAAGAGCCCAGAGACCATGAAGTTGAGAGAGAGCAGCCAAGCAGGGATAATTGGGAGGTACTGGAAAGAAGAAAAGCAAGGGGAAAATAATGTAATTATATTTCAATTTCAAAAAACAAAAATTAAAAATTAAATGAGTTATGGATTACAGATTGCTTTCACATAAATACTATAATATTTATTGTATGAATGGACAATATAATGCAAAGTTTAAAGTATTATTTTTATCAAAGAAAATAAAAAGTATCTGATTATATGCTTCACATAAATAATGGAGGATAGATACTATATAGAGTACTTTTTTGTTTTCTTCTATTTACTATAACAACAAAGAAATCCAACAACAAAATATGTTAAAAATCAAATAAAACATAATCAGTAGTAAAGATATATTAAAAGTCAAAAGCAAAAATAAAAGAAATAATCACAGAAAAAATATGAACTTTCTCAGGTCTGACTTTTCCATTCCAAAAAGTAGAAAATTCTCAAATGAAGGCAGAATCATTGGACGCTTAACAAAAAAGGAATCTCACACTAGCTCAGAACTAAGAAAACAGATGTCTGTTTATTAAGGGGTAGATTTACAAAGTCAAGATGTTCTGCTTGAACGATGAATGAAGATCAGATCCAAAGCAAACCGAACAGCCAAAACGGGGCCGAGGGGCAAGTAGAGAGAGGGAGGAAGGGGCAGGACATGCTTCTGCATCCAGTTATAAATAGTCCATGAGGCCACGCCCCAGTAGGCAGGTATGTATTAGCTGTAACCTTAACCCTTCCAGCAGTACTCAAACTTTACTTTTTAAAAATCCCATTATATTTCTTTTATTATAGAATACTATTTTTCCAACAGAAATGTGATTTTAATAAACTTTTCATAATTTAGTAACTGTAGATTACAATGATTATTATTTGATTATTATCAATGTTTATTACGATTGTATGAAAATTTTTAGTTATTTAAATCAAAGAAAGCTTATTACAATGCAATTTAATTTCAATGTTCTAGGCAGAATTTTCTGTCCTGCCAGTCAGCTCCCAAGGACCACATAGAGACTTATTATTAATTACAAGTACTTGCCTGATAGTTTAGATTTATTACTAACTAACTCTTACAACTTAATCCACATTTTTTTGTCTATGCACTCCCTCTTGGCTCAGTACCTTTTTTCAGCAGGGCAAATTCACCTTGCTTCTCCCAGCATTTCCCGTCAGGCAGCCCACTTCACCCCAGTGAGCTCTCTCCCTGCCCTCAAGTCCAGCCTAATCTCTTTTTGCTTAGCTATTAGCTATTTAGCTCTTTATTAATCTAATGAGAACACATCTTCACAGTCTACAAAAAATTGCTTCACAACACAATATTATGAACATTCCATTTAGGAAAAAAACATTTTTTTTGTTTTTATAAAATATTAGACATTCATGAAGAAATCGAGGCAAACATTTGTCTCATATAATTTAAAACCTTGTTAAATTTAGGTCAGCATAAAACTTATCACATTAACATATTGTACTTTATAAGCAAGTTGTGGGAAGCAATTCTGGATGGCTTAACTACATTAGGGACTATTTGAATGCAAAAACTTTGAACACGATGGCATGAATAGTGTGTTAAGCCTATCAAATCACCTGTTGTAAGATTCAAATTTAAATTATCTTAAAATTTCTATTGAACCCATGTATTGAGCTATGACAGAGAAATGAATGTATGTGTAGCAATTACTCTCTGTAGCTAGGAGTGCAAAGTCTGTTTTTGAAAAACTGAAAACTGAGAAAATATAGTTAAAGAGGTATAACATTAATTTTTAACTGTTCACTTTGGTGACCTGGTATTTTTTTTATTGTTGTTAAACAATAATAATTTAACCTTTAACTAAGTGATGGGAACTAGGCTATATTCTTATGAATGAAACTCTAAAAATTACATCATTGTCCTATTTACTCAGTTAACAAAATGGCCATTATCATAAACTCATATTTTGTGTATCATAGTGTACAGATTAGTATTAATGAACAATTTGACACAACCTAGCTGAGAGGAAATTCTTAGTGGTGATCTATCTAGATCAGGTGACCTGTGATCATGTCTGCCATTTTTTGACAGGAAATGATATAAGAAAATCCAATCCTATACAAGGAGTTCTGAAAATTTTAAAAAAAGCAAAGCTGGATCAAACAAGCCGAGCAGAAATTTCATTTTTGGTTACTTTGCTCTTGCTGTAGAAATGATGTGAGTAGCTATTTAATTTCCCTTCCCAAATTCCTTGAAAGTTATGGGATATATTTTGGATATGTAAAATACACAACCTCCTCTTGTATTATATAGCTTTTTGTACGGATAGTTTATTGGGGTGACAGTAATGGAATACAGACAATTAATAAGTGTTGATATGTGCATACTTCTTTTATACTTGAACATAGTTGTTGAGAGTCATAGCTGATAACTTATAGTCAGATAGTGAGAAATAACTGAATTATGGCTATAAAAGATTTCATTACTATGTATGTATACAGGTTTTTTTATCTAGCTTTAAAATACTAGAATTGTTGTTTTAGTCCTTTAAAATGTATACAGTCATCATGATCATCTAAGACTTTGCAGAAGAACACAAACTGGCTTAACAAAGTGAACCATTGAACACGGTCTCCTTATTTATCCACAGTGGAACCAGCTTGAAGGAATTTAAAGATTTCTTATGTTGAGGATGAAGGAGAAGGTGGATGGTAAAATAGATTAAAAATGGAGGTTATAACCATCCCCTTGTTTCAAAACAAAACAGGATGAAATTTAGGAACTCTACAGTGATATCAAGATTCCCAAGGAAGGTGACTATTAGTTCAGTTTTCAGAATAAAGGATATCTGGAAAATATAGCTGTTTATTAGGACATTACAATTGAATAATTGATCATATTTTATGCTAAGAGTAGTATCATGAGTAATGCTAAGATTAAAAAGAACTGCCAAACATAAATGTCTTCATATTTTCCTAGAGAAAAACTTATTTTCAATAGATGCTAAATATTTATAAACATTAAGCTGAATACAATTTTAAACTGTGATAGTTTGCTATAGCACATTTTTACCCCTTGGGATTTTAAAACAGTAAGAGAACTTGAATATTCTATGAGGATATTTTTGAAATCTCCAAAGGACCATATGTAGCATGATGCAGAGGTTGCCATGGAAACAAGAAATTAAAAACAACAAAACAATAAAAAGTTATTTCTTATGCATTCATAAGGCTTGCATAATTGCAAGCATATTTTATTTCCATACAGTTAGTAAGTGCTCCATCGTTCCTTCTAAAAGTTGGCTCAGCTGTTTTAATCTTGTGTTATTTTTATCATTAATTGGATAAAACTAGGTCCTTGGCTAATTTTATTCTTTCTGAGTATTTGTTCTGTTGCTATATAATTGATAGAAAAAGTTACACATAAGAAAAATTCTCAGTTCATAGGAAAAGAACAATAAGCTATTCAATAATTGAATATAACCAAACAATTTATTTCATTAAAAATTTACTTGTATATTGGTTCTATGGATGAAATAAAAATCTTCCATAATTGTTCTCTAACATCAGAATTTTCCAAGGGAAGAAATGCAATGGAAATCATCACAGCATCTGAGCTGGAGGTATTTGTTTCTATGCAGAAGAGTTAACACAATTAACCATATTTATTTTATTATTAAAACACAAAGGACTTTTAATGCAGGCCCCAAATGTATTTTGTTTTACCTTGAAAAGCAATACTTATATAACAGCTTTGCTAAAAGGAGAAACAGAAAGAAGAAATGGTGGAAATTCTGTAGAGGAATCTATGTCACTTATGTAAGTCCCTCCAGGGAAAGATGCTCCAGCATTACATAAGTGTCTACTTGGATCCATCCTCCTTCAACAGATAGATCCACCAAATAGTTGTATGGGACCGTGTTTAGAATGTATGAAATAAGTTCCAAGTGGAGAGTTGAGTTTAAGTAGTTCTAGTAAATCATGATCCTTAAAAGTCACTAGGTATTTCTTGGACCTTAATAATGTCATTCCACTCATTTATTTTTTAAAAAGCACACACCAAGAGTACAAGTCATATCAACAATTTCATTAACAAACATTCATTTTTCTCAATTAGTTGCAATCAACTGCTTCTTTTTATTTATTTTTCTCTCATACAATACATTCAATGGCATCCTTCCCTCCCTCCACTTCTCCCAACTCCCTTCCCCATCCCCATATCTACTGGTCTTCCATTTCCCTTCAGAAAAGTGCAGGAACATGGCAACAGGACATGACATAAAAAGATACAATAGTACCAGGCACAGACCTTCATATTACCACTGGAGTGGGCAATCAAGTAGGAAAAAAAGGGTTCCATGACCAGGCAAATAGTCAGAGACACCCCCACTCCCATTATTAGAAGTCCTTAAGAAACCTCAAGCTAAATAACGACAACACATATGCAAAAAGCATAATGGAAACCCATGTAGGCTCCCTGATTGCCACTTCAGACTCTGTGAACGCCTGTGAGCCCGGTTAGTTGATTCTCTGGGCAGTGTTCTCCTGTAGTTCTTGACCCCTCTGGTTCCTTCAGTCCCCGTATTGTGTGGAGTTCTCAGTTTTCTGCCTGATATTTGGCTGTAGGTCTCTGCATCTGCTCCTATCAACTCTCAGAGGAAGCCTCCCTGTTGATGTCCGGGTTAGGTGCTGATCTATAAACAAATCAGAATATCATGAATAATATCTGTCTATCTGTCTGTCTGTCTGTCTGTCTGTGTGTACGTATGTATGTATCTATCTATCTATCTTTCTGTCTGTCTGTCTGTCTGTCTATCTAACTATCTTATCAATCTCTCTGTTTTGCTGTCATGTCTGGTTCTTTTCAAGTTTCTGGGAAATCTGGCTTCTGGTTTCTGGCCATCCAGGAAGCTTAGGAGATAGGCTCCCTTTCTTTGCATTAAACGCAGGTTAAACCAGCCATTAGTTGGCCATTCCTACAAGCAATGAACCACCATTGCTCCAGCACATCTTGCAGGTAGAACAGGCTGTAAATCAAGGATTTTGTGGCTGGGTTTGTTCCCCAGTACCACCACTGGATGACTTGGATGTTTACAGAAACACGCAGGCTTCAGTATAGTCCATTAATAGGAGTTCTGCCTAGGGTCAGCCTCATAGGCTCCAGGTAGTTTCCACTATACATTATGCACTTAACTTCCCTTCTAACTCCAGTTGTCTCTCACCCAAACTCTCTTCCTAGATCCCTCCTTAAGCAATCTGAATCACCCTTTTTCCATCTGTACCTACCACCAGTATACCTGAAAAATCTATTCTATTTCCCCTTTCAGGGAAATCTATGCAGTACCCCTAGAGTCCTCATTGTTATTGAGCCTGTCTGGGTCAATTGTGTTGTGTCATGATTATTCTTTATTCAACAGCTAATATCAGTTTATAAGTGAGTATGTATCATGTTTGTCTTTGGGGGGCTGGGTTGCCTGTCTCACAATGACTTTCTTCTACTTCCAACTATTTGCCTAGGAATCTCATGATGTCATATTTTTAACAACCAAATAGTATTTCATTATGTAAATTCATTATATTTTCTTTATTCAATTCTTCATTGAGAAGCTTCTAGGCTGTTCCGAGTTTTTGTCCATTTTGAATAAATCTGCTGTGAATATACCTGAGCAAGTGTCTTTGTGATGGGATGAAGCATCCTTTGTATATATACCCAAGAGTGATATAGCTGGGTCTTGAAGAAGATAAGTTCCCAGGGTCCAGAGGAGCTGACATGCTGATTTACATAGTAGTTATATATGTTTGTAATCCATCCATCAATGGGGGAGTGTAGGAGTGTTCCAATTGCTCCATATAATACGACTAGTCAATTCACAAGCCTGCTTGTTTACTGGTCTTATATGGTTGTTATTGCTTGCTTTGGTTTTTTGTTTGTTTGTTTGTTTAAATTCACCTAGTATAAGGACAGAATTCATCACTGTATAACATCAACAGACATTTTTGTTTGTTTTCAAATCAAGACTCTAACTAGACATTATTATACAAACTTTAGTTAGAAGGCATTAATAGAAAAAAGACAAAGTCAATAGATTCATTTTATTTTCTTATATCAATAGCAATACATGATGCTAGCTTTTGCTAAATTAAAAACAACTTATAGGAAAATAGACAAAATATATAGCAAGGATAAGTCAAGCCAAGAGGAAGTTACAGTATTATGAAATAAGGATTTTTTTTTGTGTTATGAGGTATTTACTTAAGTGTTACTGAGTGTACCTAGGAAGAATCTGAATTACAAGTTCTAGCAACCACAGAGAAATAAATACACACAGAAGGGCCACAGCTGCATAACAGCCACAGTGGTTGAGAAAAAAGTTTATTTTCTTTACCTCAGAAAAAGTTAACACTAGACTATATATGTCACTGAAAGGAGAAATGTGTATAAAAATGTATACATGGTATATCAAGTTTTGACATATAAAAACCTCTATTATTACTTTGGAAATACAGGATCTTTAGCCTTGTGAAGAAACACCACAAACTTTTCATTCAAAATCAGTAAATTTTCAAATATATATTCACTCCCAAACTGAAAAATATTCACTTGAATTGATATTTGATTTTAACAAGGTTTTGGGATATCACATCAAATAGAAAAAGTAAATTGTGCTTCTAACAATGACATATAATATTATACAATTAGATTTGTACAAATAGTACTTTTTATAGGATCCAAATCATAAAATGCAAAAGAAAATTGATACCACTGTAAGAAAAATGAGTTTACTCTTGAGAAAAAAAATAACTCACAAAGCACGACAATCATTCAGAGCCTAGGCTGTGTATTGAAAAACTAAATTTGTCAAGTTGTTAATTATAGTCAGACACAGATTAGATGACATCCTATGCAAAATCCCAGCATATGTTATATATAAATAAATAAACATTTCATCAAAAAGATAAGAAATATGAAGATCCTTAAATAGCCATTCAATCGTGGCAATGAAAAGTTATGTTGGAGTACTTTCATTACCTGATTTCAAGATTCACTGAACCTCTACAACAATTAAGACAATGTGTTATCGATAGAAGTGTAGACAAACAGATCAATAGAACAAAATAAAGAGGTTTAAAAAAATGGAGCCACACTTACTTAGCCAATTGAATTTCAACAATGCTGCCAAGGTAATTCAAAAGAAAATTGAAGTCTTTAACAAATGTTTCTTGGAAAACTCCATATACAAAAACAAAACTGTGAACTCTTATCTTACACAATGCAGAAAAATGTGTTTAATATGGATAAGAGACTGAAATTAAAAAGCAGTCCATTCTTAGTGCCATTAATCTTTTGCCTTACAATAATAGCTCTTGAAATTGCTGTAGTCTTGAGTTAGCCTCCACAATTCTATCCCTATAGTCCTCCAATGCCAAATCCCCAGATAGTTAACATTCATCTTTTTTTCCTTTCCTGGGCAACTGACACTACCAATGGCTCAGCTGCACTCAGCTCACTGCCCAATGCTTGGTTTCAGAAGCACTTTTCTCTTGTCCCTTTACTAAAATTGTTTATAACTTCCTTCTTCCTCTTGTGTCACTCTGATTTACTTACCCTGTCTCTCTTGCCGCCATTATGATACAACAATCTCTGAAAACAGGCTCCCAATCCCCTCTCTTCCCTAACATTTTCCCTGTCTCCCGGCCCAAACCTAACAATTCTTCTGTGGGTTTTTGCTTTGCTTTGTTTTTATTTTTTGGTGGAATCTTTCAAACATTTGGTATTTTACACATAGACATTACCAAACGGATGTGCATCTAACTGTCTTGGTTGTAGTCATAAACTACCCTCTGCCTGATTCAATAGAAATTTAGAATTCAGCCACAAATAGTAGACATTCAATAAAGACTATGAACCAAACTTCATGCTTAGAACCATATAGAAAAGATATCTTAGTCATCTTCATATTGTGTGGATATTAACTTCTTCAAGTCTAAATTGTTCCTTATGGAATGACTATGTCTTATGTAGCCTTTGGGACCTAGTTTCTCACTTTCCTCACCAGTTCTGTTGGATTAGATTTTTTTCTCCCCTATATTATAAATCTGCTATGTTTTTTAAAAAGTTGATACTTTTCTAAATTTTATTGGGCTCAATAAGTTTTCCCAACCAGAATTCTGAAAAATTATTGGGTCTCTTAGCCTATTCAGACGTGACATAAACAATAGCACTTGAGGAAAATTCATGATCAGTATTATATGAAGTCTTGCTTTCCCTCGTCAGATCCTGAATTACTTATGTTTTAAGAGGCATGTTATTAAAAAGTTAAAGATTTGAAGAAACGGTTTAGAACAAAATACATGAAATTCCATTATTACCATTCTTCTCATATTTAGATAATGGCTATCCAAATACAATATTGTTTTTTTTATCGCCCTGATGTATGTTTCTGAAGACAGCATTTGCAAACTATCCCCCATACCTTCAGGTTATTGCACAGAAATTGCTCAGTGATTGTTTCCTCAACATATGGATTTCTGTTGACCTGAAGCGAGGCTATCTGTCTTCTCAGCTCATTTGCAGTAGAATCCTATGGGGACACACAAATAGGAATGCTTTGTTATTTTTTTTTAATTCAGAACTTTTTTGTAAAGGAGTAAAAATTCTTAAAGAAGTTCTGAAGCTTACATTATCTCCTTCTTGTTCAATATATGCATGGGGAAATAGCTCAGACCTTGAACTCAATAGCAGCTCCCTTCATGGAAGTTTTCCAAACTGCTCTATCTACCAGATAATGAAAAATGACTCTCTATAGCCTCAGAATATTTACAGGACTTATCTCTACTTTGTTGAAAGAGAAATTATAACTAATATTCTATGATGTAGTTTCAATTTTCCCAGAAGTTATGCATACTTTGTTACTTGAATTGTTCTTTTACGATGCAGTTGTATCCAGTGATTTCCCCCTTTGGAATGTATATATATAGTAGCTGTCAGGAGGCATCTATATAATCAGAAGTCTGCAATTTAACTGACACCAGCTTGTAAAGGAAACAAGGCAAGGCTAATTGATACACGGAAAAGCACTCACCACGAATAACTCTTTAACCACAGCAGAAGTTTATGTACCAATTTGACAAAAGCTGAGGATATTGGCTTCAAAGGATGGATGGTTTTGTTGAGGCTTTTGTGCCCGACACTGCTCTAACTGGGTTCCCCCTGAGGTGGTAATGGATGGCTGCAATTGTGTTACAATCAGTTTTTCTTTAGATGCAAGAGGCAATATTTGTTATCACATCTGTTATGGAATTATTTCCTTCTCAGACATTGTGAATGACTTGAAACAAACAAAAAAAAATGTTTTATTTTTGTTGTTTGTGTGTTTTTTAATTTTTTGTAAAGTCTTTTTCTGTTCCAATTTTGTTTATTTTGTAGATTTCTCATCAACTTTCCATTAACTTACAATATAATGTGGTTGATTATTGCATTTTCATGCCTGTATATTATCATACCTTATTCTTATATATTTGTCCATTATTTTCTGCTGTCTCCTCTCCACTCTCCATCTGCCCCTCCTCTCTCCCTGTTCCTTCAGGCAATTCACCTCCCCCTGTTTTCTGGTTTCAGAAGCCTTGTTGACTATGCTCTTCTATCAGGAATGCCTCTAGTGAATATCCAAGTGCATCTTTATGTCTTCGACCTCCGCTCTCCTCTGGTAGTCCCTTCCTTTCCTTATTGCAAAGGCTATAGGCAGATACTCCAACAATGTACAGGTCAAGAGGTAGTTTTTTCCCCATAGGGGCAGGACTAACAGACAAGGATCTTATAGAGAAACTTGTTAGGTGTTTCATTCTTCTTCCGGGACTACTTTGTCCTCATTTCTTTACTGGTTGTAAGGGTTCCCCAGAGGGATTATGTTACTATGACCAAAAGTGCTCACAGAACTGGGAAAGCACACTTCATTTTTCATTTATTCCTTTTTCCTCCAAACTCCGCTTCTTACCTGCTATTCTTTCAGACCAGATAAGTCATTTACTCTATGAAAACCCCAAACAGGACAGCACATAGTTCTGAGTATTTTTTAAAAGTAAAGGGAAAATCACTAGGAAACTGTTAAATTGAGACAAAAAATTTAATACAAGGTGACAGCAATCTGGACCTCATGCAATTTTCTTTAGATATCAAACGAGGACAAAAATTGTTGGATTTAAACATTTTTTTTCAGCATTAGAACTGAATTACACCTTTTCTTCAGGTTCTGTCCTATAGTCATATATATGTGATGACCAAAATTTTTCTTTCTGTACCTAATATTTCACACAAATATTTCCTTGTTTTTTTTCACTTGACATTAATGTCATGCAAATCTTCAACAATTAGAACCTGCATTTGCAAATATTTGGTCCAATGTAATATAAGAAAGGGTTCTGACATGTAAACCTTTCTAAAGATGGATAATAGTTTTGTCCAACAGTTTCATGCTTTGCTCTCCTGGTAGCAGCTCCCTTATGTGTTTATATACTAACATCTTCCTTGATTAAACAAACATTAGTTTCATTGTGTGTTTCTATTCTAACCTTGTATCAACCTCCCTGACTGTAAACAAAGCATTAACTGAAGTGATGATTTAACTAAGAAAGCAGTATTATCAGGATAAGAAGAAGACACAAGCTACTTTTTTTAAATTTCAGGGAAACTTACACATGACCACCTTTAAAAGCAATAGAAAAATTATTCCATGAAGAATGAATTATAGTTTTAATATTTGGAATTCTTTGTACCTTTCCTGATTGGAGATATGAAACAGATAGGTAGTAATGTGTAGGGATGGGCAATACATTTTCTCAGATCTTGTGCTTTTCAGATTTCATGGTACAGAGAAAGGATCCTCTTCTCACTCATGCTCTTCATCTCTAATACAAATCATAAAAAAGATAGATGAAAGGTAAGTGAAATAATGCCTGCCAGGCAGAAAGAATGGAGTGGTTGTTGTTTCATATATGTCATTACTTCATATAGAGAGAAGTAAAACAGTTGTCTATCATATCCCCTAAAGAGAGAGTGTGAAAACTTATAGAGAAGAAAAATCTGGCTATTGAGATTTTTATTATTAAAACTTTTCAATTAAATTTCATTATTCATTAGTGTGGGAGTGAGTGTGTAGGTGTGTGAATGTGTTTGCGTGTGTTTATGTGTATTTGTATTTTTTCCAACAGCTGGCAAATGTCAAAGTATAACTTGCAGGAGCAATTCTCTTCTTCCAGCATGTGGGTCCCAGTAACTAAACTCAAGTCCTCAGGGTTGGCGGTAAGAGCCTTTAGAACTATGACATCTCACCATCCCAAACCTATCAGCATTGATAGAAAAGATATTCAGCCATGATAAAGTATACTTCAGAATTTGAAGTTTGATGTGTAGATTCACAAGTGTAAGCTAATGATGTCAACATTATCTGCAAGCTATTACCTTAAACCTTTGAAAATAATCAACTAAACTGAGTTCAAAGGAATCAAAAGAATCAAGCTTAATAATCACTTATGTGAATAGACTAAGGATTTACATTTACAATTTCTGGTTTGTGTATCCTTCTAAATGTTATACTGAATACTGTCCCTGTGTACTTGGGAGCTCTAGCAAAATTCCATGGTCTGGGCATTATAAACAACACGACTTCATAAACTATATGACTTTATTTCTCAATATGCAATAGGCTAGGACATACAAGACACTGGAGAATTCTTTGTCTTATGAAGGTTCTGTTACTTGCTCAAGTAATAATGGCCAAGATCAAAATCACTGATGACAGCTTATGTTGGAGAGTTTGTGGGGTAAAGGGAGCACTTCTGCATTGCTGGGGGGAATGCAAGCTTTAGATGTCAATGTAGCAATTTCTCAGAAAATTAGGAAACAACCTTCCTCAAGACCTAGTAATACCACTTATGGATATATATCCAAAGGATGCTCAATCGTGCCACATAGGACATGTGCTTGACAGTATGGAGAATATGGATCTTGAGAGAAACGTTCTGCTCTTGGTTTTCACAATCTGAAGATTGGATGACTTTGAAGACACCCAGCCCAGGGAGATTCATGTGACTTCTTAATGAAATTTAGAGCATTAGAGTATTTTTATCCATCTTATTCCAAGATTATGTGATACAGGTAGAATGACGATGTCACCGTTCCAAAGTTTCTGAGGACACCTGAGCTAAAATAACAAGAAATCCAGTTAGGCATATCCCATTCACTAACTGAAGTGAGAATTTGCCAAACCAAAGCCAATTTGATCTTGTAAGACAGATCTTGTGGTTTTCAATTTTCTCTTCTATAACTCATGAGAGCAGTTGAAAATGCTCCAACAATGCCTGTTTATCCTGTTTTGAATGATACTACTAATGATGCAGATTTTACAACCACAATTTTAGTTCTTATCTCACAGACTATTTTACATAGAGTCATTCAATTCCAATCAAAATTCTAACACCATGCTTTACAGACCTTAAAAGAACAATATTCTACTTCTTATGGTTAAAAAAAAATATCTAAAGACTGCTAAAACAATCACGCACAATGAAAGAACTTCCACAGGTGTCACAAAACTTGATTTCAAACTGTACTTCAGAGCAATAGTAATAAAAATTGCATGGTATTAGCATTAAAATAGACAGGTTAATCAATGGATTCAAAATGAAGATGAAAAAGTAAATGAATACACATATGAACACTTAATTTTTGGAAAAGAAGCCAAAATTGTACAATTGAAAAAGAGAAATCATCTTCAACAAAAGTTGGTGGTCTAACCAGATATCTTCAAAGTAGAAAAATTCAAATAGATCCATATCAATCACTCTGTACAAAACTAAGGTCCAAGTGGATCAAAGACCTCAACATAAAACCAGATACACTGTATCTGATAGAAGGCAAAGTGGTGAATTGCCTTGAATGCATTGGCACAGAAGACAACTTCCTGAACACAACATCAATAGCATAGACACTAAGAATGACTATTAATAAACGGAAATTCCTGAAGCTGAATAGCCTCAGGACAAAGGACACCATCAATAAAACAAATTGGCAGACTACATAATGGGGAAGAATATTCATCAACTCCACATCTGACAGAGGGCTGATTTCTATTATATATGAAGACTCAAGAAACTATACATGAATAAACCAAATAATTCATTTAAAATAGGACATAGATCTAAACATAGAATTCTCAATAGAGGAATCTCAAATGGACAAGAATTACACAAGAAAATATTCAACGTCCTTGGCCATCAGGAAAAGGCAAATCAAAAAACTTTGAGATTCCATATTACAGAATGGCTTTCAGAAGGGCTAAGATAAAAAACACAAGTGACAGCTTATACTGGAGAGGATAAAGAAAAAGAATGCTCCTCCATTGCTGGTTGGAGTACAAACTTGTAAAGTCACTTTGGAAATCAATACAGAAGTTTATTAGAAATTTGGGAATTGATCTACTTCAAGACCCAGTTATACCACTCCAGGACATATATTCAAAGGATACTCCACCATACCATAAGGACATTTGCTCATCTATATTCAAAAAGGCTTATTTGTAATAGCCAGAAATTGGAAACAACCTAGATACCCCTCAAATAAAGAATGAATAAAGAAATTGTGGAACATTTGCACAATAGAGTATTACCTATTAAAAACAATGACAACATGAAATTTTCTGGCAAATAGATGGAGCTAAGAAAGTTCATTCTGAGTGAGGTAAACACAGAAAGGCAAACATTATAGGTACCCACTTATATATAAGTGGACATTACCTGCAAAGTAAAAAAAAAATACTATTGTACAGACTCAGAAAACCTGAGTAATAATGAGGGTTCAAGGGAGGGGACACATGAGTCTCACTGTGAATGGGGAATATAATAGACAACATAGTTACACGAGGGAGTATATATGTGTGGGAGTGGGAATGGGAACAGGAGGAATCAGATGAAAGGAGGATGGAGGGAGAAATTGGAGTAAGGGGGCATCTCTTGGGTAAGCTTGAAACTTATAACAATGGAACAAAGTAAGATGGAGGGAGAAACTGGAGTGAGGGGGCATCTCTAGGTGATCTAGAAACCTAGAACAATGGAATACCCAGGAATCTATGGGGGTGATGCTACTTAAGGCTCCTAGAATTGGAATATGGAACCTGGAACTGACAAAATGCATGATTTTGGAAGAGGACAAGCAGGATACCAAAAAAAAAAAGAAAAAAAAAAAAGAAAAAAAACTGTCAAATCTCACCAAGACAGGGTTAGATGGTTTTGGAAATTTTCTTGCCTCTGAAAATGGTTTGTTAGTTACTCTAGGCCTTAGCCAAAGTTGGTAGCTCTAACATTGAAAATGAGACTTTGGGTGATTGCCCAGGTAGCCAGTTGTCTCTGTTGCACATTTTGAAGTTGTTTGATTACACTTCCTGCTTGCTCAAGGAATATTATTACCCTTCTCAGATCGTCAATGGAGTTGAAGACCAGATAGTTGTAGTTACTTTCCTCTCATGACTTGGCCAAGTTATTTATTAAAAAAGACTTAAACTCATTAGGATAGAATAATTATTGAAACATTTATCACATCTTTCTTGCTTGATATATTTGTTCTTATTTTATAAAATTTTGTTTTAAGCTTAGAACGCTCTTATTTAAACAAAAGGGGAGGTGCTATAGGAATTCCTACCGCCAGTAGCCTTTAAGTTACCCGCCCACTTGGGCTTGGTCACTTATACTATTTATATGGAGATAAAGTGCATCCAGTCTCTTTTCCAGTTGCAGGCTTTGGTTTCTCTTTTTCGTTCTAGCAGAGGATTATGATCTGTGAGTCTACTCCTAAATAAATAACCCTCTATTATTCTGAGTTCTGAGCTAGCATGGGATTTCTTTTAAGCGTCCTTCTTCATATGCCATCTCCTATAACCAGGCAAAACTCCCAGTGACAGGATTAGGACACCAACCCAACCACAAAACCCTTTATCTACAACTTGTTGTGTCTACAAGATGTGCTGGAATAAAGGTGACACAGAAATCATATACAAAGTGGGCTACCAAATGTTTGGTCCAGCTTGAGACCCATACCATGAGAGGGTGCACACACCCGTGTTGAGGGCCAGACGTAGTATAGAGCTTAACATCACTGGCAATTAAAAAAAAGATCAAAATAATGATGCCTAATGGTATTCTGCTATACTCCTAGATTGGTGCCTGTCCCAGTTGTCATCAGAGAGACTTCACCCAGCATCTGCACAGCCTGAACTGACAATCTCCTGTTACCAGACAAGACTTGAAGTGGAGGGACATACCTTTAACCTATAATGTGTCCTGTCTATAGGATATGCTGGGAAAAGGGTGGTGTAGAGTTTGGGGGACTACCAACAGTGAGAACAGGTGATGTCTCTGGACTAATCATGGAAACAAACTCACTGTACTTGCACCAAGTTGGGCACTTCTTGATCTTATTATGTATGATAGTAATTTATCACTATTTTACATAAGACTTGCTTTGACCCCCACAGGCACCCTTTCGTCAATTAAATGACTAAAAATCCCAATGTGGACATTGTTTTGTTGTTATCTAAAATAGAAACATGAGGTTAGTTTTCCATACACCAACTCATTTCTTAGCAAGTATGAGAACATAAAAATCTCATTTCTAAATTTCTATATTCTGACACATATTTCTAACATGGATTTTATGTTAGAAATTCAAGGGCTTTATTTCCATACTCTAATTTCCAATGTTTTTTTTTTTTAAAGCATCGTTTACTCACTCCAATTGTGGACCTTTCCTATCACAAAGTGAAAATTAAAGTTCTGCCTGTAGGGTGCCATTTACACATAGTCAGAATACAAAAAGGGGAAATGGAGAACCATTACAAAACTGAAAAGGGGAAATA